ACGTTAAAACTGTACACAATGGTATGGTTTCCTGATAGTAAAACTGGTATGCAAAATTTGCATTGACGATAAGAAAGAGATAAGAATTAGTGACGCTAATGACATGTTTTACAGTGCGACCTTACATGAACCAAGTAAGTGGTCAAGATGTATTAATAATTTTAACTACCTTCGGTAACAAATTTTGACGTGCAGAAAGTTTATTTATACCGAAGCACAATGTTTTATAAATATCTCCACGAGCATATTTCCTTGTCGACGTATTTACGTATTAAACGAATTTATTTTAACTTTTGTACATGCACAAAAGTTTGGAAAATGCACTTTATTAAAATTACTGTAGTAAGTTAATAAAGAGTGCGTTTTCCAAATTTAAGAAGATAAACAAAAGTAAAATTCCGCAAAGTGATAATATTTACATGAATATGATAAACAGTTGTTTATCATTTGAATCATTAACATTACCATTCACTGAACAATGTAGATTGAAGGTATAAAATTGGTAATAAATCATTCATAGAACGCTTACGGTGACTTTGAATAATCAATTTCTTTCTCAAACAATTTGGTCACTTCTTCTGAAGTTAGACAAATCATTTTTAGATTCACCAAACGGAATCCCTTTTCCTCCAAGTGGGCCAAAATACTTCCCGCTTTACAAACGGCATCCGGCCGAATGAAAACCAAGCATCTAAAGAATAATGGTTGAAGGTTTCGCAAACCTTTCAGAATTCCCCATCAATGACCTTTTAGTGGCAAGATCACCGAAATCAACTATTCTTAATGTTCGTGAAAGAATAGTTACAGAGCTTCCAAGATAAAAGTCGCTGAGCTTCACACCATCGACTTTTGTCGGTTTTAGAAACATTTTATTTGTTTTTTCATCATGCTGTCACTGAATAATGTTATGAGCGCAAAAGGTTACCATTTCTATTGCATTGTTCCCAGTATGATATAAGAGCCTGAAAGTCTTCAGCATAGACGCTACCGGATCGTACCACTCCACTATGAAGCAATAGCTTGGCCCTTTGTCGCTCTGAAATCAGTATCAATCAAAAAATGCATCTATAATCACCATGTTTCCTGAAGATGTATATTTCAAAAAGCCGGTTATGGCATTGACAACGGATACTCAAGGTCAAATATCAGTCAGTCAGTCAGTCAGTCAGTCAGTTTGCACAGGACAGGAGATGACCACGGCCAATCGAGCGTCCAGATTTCCTCCGGTAGTAAGCCCCGTTCCGG